TCATCCCCTTACACACATAGATACAAATGAGCTACACTACCATAAATGTCAAAACGATTCGGGAGCTTAGTTTCATTTGCTTACTCTAAATTTTTGTAGTGAGTCAGGCATAATTTGAAAACTCTGGCGTCCTCTTGCCAAAAAATCGTCAGCCCAGACTTTATGCTATGCGTAAGTTGGTGAAACCTCATTTAATGAGTATAAAACGTTCAACGTATCGCATACACGTCACGTGTTTCGTAAATGTCATGATCATACCGAGCTGACGACAGACCGTTATCTGTAGAGCCTTTACACCAACGGTGAACAACCCGCATGCGTCACATTGTATTATTTTTGGTGTGAAAACCCGAATAATATTTAAACCGACCTAACATATTACAGTTGATCTTTTGACTTCAACGTTTCTTCAGGGAGCGCTCGAGGCGTCCATTGACAAAAGAAAACTTTATTTTTTAGTTTTCAAAAATGGTATCAAACCTTTCATTAAATTGTATTGCAAAGTGCTTCAAAAAATATAAAAAGCGAAATTTGGCGAAAAGCACATTTGTCATTAACTTTATTTTTGATTCTGGCAAAGTGAATAGTCGTATCGTCAATGAACTAAATGTTTCATTAATATGTGAAACTCCCTTACTCAGGTCGTGAGCCTCTGATTTACACGAAGATTCCCTAGGACCTGAAAGGTCTAAGGTTTGAGTCCCGACGGTGGGAAGATTTTCGATACTGGCTAGATCGAATGCAGTTGTCGTTGTGGCCGTCTGCTCTGATCGATAGTTTTACTTGGTTTATCCGATGAACATCTGGCACATGCCGTAGAAGTACGCTTATATACGGACCACAGGCGTCGCGCGATCATTCCTTCCTCTTTCTTGTCCTATTCTCACCCCTTACTTACTCTACACTACTTACATGCTCGACACTACCGCTCTACAGAGCAGACGGGTGCTTCGACTTTGTCGCGGCTGAGGCGGTGCCTCACTGATGGAGATACCTGGAGCGGGAAACCCTCGCCATCCGACGTATATGTTGCTGCCGAATCTCGCCATCCAGCTGGTGACGATCACCACCACATCTTGCGATAAAAACATGCTCTCTACTTACGGGACTAATGGCAAAATCAGTTGAATGCCCGAATATTGCCAGCACATCTTCACTTCCTTGGGTCAAGGAATTGTCCAATCTAAATATACAGACGTGTTCAAATTATTAGACTAGAGCATGTTTTTCCTAAGTTACATGTTATAATTGGAGAGAAACGTTATTAAGTGTGATGTCTGTGAAATATCTTGGCAGATTTGGACAATTAGGCAATATCAATACAATAATATCCTTGAAATGGAACTTTTCCCCAAATTAAAGTGATGTAGATAGCATTTTAATGCACGATGAAGCACAGTCCCACAAAAACAAAAGTGTCTTCAAGAATTTGTAAGAAACGCAATTTAAAGTGTTACTATGACCACGGAATTGCTTCGACCCCATATAAAATGTATCGGGTGTTACCAAGAGAATACTAAGGAAATATACAAGAAGTTGTGGACAAACTAGATGAGATTTGATACCGCAACGATTAAATTAAAAACTCAGATGAAAAGTTGGTAAACATTATGCTAAACAGGATGAAGTTGTTAAGAACAAAGGCACGCTCATTAAAAGTAGCTATTAAATGTACTCGGCCATTGAAATACTTGTGGAAATCGATGCACAGGCAGCGAATAAGGCTTCTTGGAACCGCAAAGAAAGTGTTTAGTCTCGCGTACGACTGTAACATATACCTGAACATAAACGTGTAATGAATGCAAATCTTTTACGAAAAATGTATTTAGTCTAATAATTTGAACACGTCTGTAGTTGTGACAGATCATCAGCCGTGACGTAGTTACTCAATGGGGGGCTTCGAATTAACGTCGCAACGAAGCTCCTGCTTGTATAACAGCGTCCACCCTACGGCCCCAAGTCACCACGTGGTCACGTGTGTTAGTCGAGTGACGGCAGCGGCGCGCCCTCTGCCCGCAGGCTTCCTCAACGCGAACGCGGCGCCGCGGCTCAAGGCGCGCGTGGCCAACTACGGGCTGATGGACCAGATCGCGGCGCTGCACTGGGTGCAGCAGAACATCGCGGCGTTCGGCGGCGACCCCGGCCGCGTGACGCTGGCCGGCCACGGGACTGGCGCCGCCTGCATCCACTTCCTCATGGCGTCGCCCGCCGTCACGCCAGGTGAGCCGACAACCAACTTCCTTTTGCTTTGGGGTGTGCACAAACTGTGAGAATATTCTAGCCACCATCTTTGCAGCGAATTGAAGCCATGTCTTCTGTAGCCAAAACAGGAGAAAAAGAATATTCTAGCATTACGTTTGTCGCTGGATACGGACGGGTGGGCGCGGACCACACGATATACAAATTCTCTAGATCTGCGTATTCAGGACCAATCATTTAAAAACGAAATCATATTAAGTAAGAACGAATTTACCAACTTTAATAACATGTTGCTTTCTGTATCAATTGGGGTTATAATAATGGAAGCTACAGAAATGTTATTAGATTAGATTTATTGATAATTCTGCAATTAGAAAAGAATTCTGCAATGAGAACTTGGTGGCAGAATACACTAACTTAACATTACAGAACTTAACAACCTTACAAAATATATACACTTTACAAATTAACGTGGACAATTCACCGTGCAATCTTTCATAGCACTCCACTTCACCACACTTCATTTCATCGCACTGCGAATCTCTAAGCTACAGTCTTTCTTACACACTCGTTTTCTTCAGTTATTGTAATTAGTGTAAAGTTTGAATCTGAATGTTGTTGCATTAAAAAACATAGAAACAGATCACAAATAAGGCAGCAAATATAAACAATGTCCAATAAACATGACGGATGCCATTAATAATTGTCAATAACATAAGTAAATAAACAACTAAACACAATAATATTTAAATGTAGTTGAACGGAGAGAAAATATAGAAATAAGATCGGATATAAACAACACGTAGATTCAATATAACAACAGTTCTATATGCCGCCACCCAGTCCATGATTCATATGTCGTGATTGCAAAAAACATGGCGGTCCCTAGTTCTGCGAACGTCCACCAGGAGCGCTGAAACCATAGAGTCAGCAACTCTATGTAGTATATTCTAACTCGTTGGTTTTGGCCCTTCAGTAATTCACAGATGTATAGAATTAGATTGGCAGTGCCGTCCGTGCAAATAAGGCAAGCGGGAGAAGGTAAGTTGGCAGCCCGCACAACTCTTTGCTTCATTTAAGAATACAAGGGTAGCATTACCAATGTCTTATATATCTTAAAGAATATTACTTCCTCACCCTAACAAAGCTACTTCGTAAAGAGAAAGGTAACTGTTTGCCGGAAGACGGCGAAATTTTTTGTTGCTAACCGTAATGACTATTATTTTTCAAAATGAAAACATCTATTAATGATCATATATTATTAGTCTATTTATTACTGTAAATTATGTTTTATTTACTAGGAAATTATGGTCTAGTTTAACCATGTGATTCATGAGTTTATTATAGCGTACACAGATGAGAAAAGAATTTCACGTATGTGTTAAATTTGCTTCTAAGGAATTTGCCTTACTTATGTTACTATGAGGGTTGCGACTGCGGCATAGCCAATCTATGCATTATATATCTATGGGAAAATATTTAAAAAACGTTAAAAACACAGAATGTCAATTGAAGTTCATGTCAATAACAAGTCAATAGATTGTTTAGTTTTAATAGTCATTTAAAAGTTTACTTTTGAAGTTAACTTAAGTTATCATTTTAATAAATTGTTATTGACATTCTGTGCTTTTAATTATAAATTGTCCATCATTAAGGTAAAGAGCCAAAACCTAAAGAAAAAGGTTATAATTTAATAAGACAGAGGAATAACACATAAAGTTGCGCTCTTCTATATTACCATATCAGTGCTCAAGCCGCACGGGCAATTTCCCCTTTCTCTTTTCGGAAAAAGAAACAGAAAGGGGCGTACATGCGCAAGCTGTAGCAGAGTCGATGAGCAAAAAACGAGTTCAAAATAACTCGTTCACGACAAATAATATATTCAAACGAAAATACGTTTTGAATGTCTTCTGGCAAATAATAGAATTTTTATTACGTTTATATGCTCCATTAGTTATTACTTTATTTCATGTTTATTTTGTTTTTTAAATTCTGCCTTGCAGAATGATTTTTACCAAAGGGAAAAAATGAATTTAAATGGCAAATTATTCGCTTCTTTGCGTTTTGTGTAATGTTTTATTTAATGATTTAGTTATTTGTTATACATAGCAATAATATTTATACGTTAACAAGCCTCTGTGTTGTATATATCCTCTAGTAATCCCCTTAGATTTGTTATACCACCCTTCCTGGCGGAAGAACTTGTCTGTAATATGTCTGTTTTAACAGATAAGAACTTTTTTCCTAACCTGTACGTAGGACGTTAACTTTTTTCCTAACTTGGCTAGCTTGCCCTCAATCTTGACATGTCTACGTTATAGCCTACGTAGTTCTCTCAAATCCGACTTCCAGCTACTGCAGCAATTGCCTTTATGGCGAACCCTGAACTTGAGAAAGATCAGTCACAAATCCTGCTCTTAACTTCTTATGAGTGTCTTCCGAATAGATATTAAAAAATGTACAGTAGGAAGGTTATTTGCAAGGGATTGGATGTATTAATTAAAATTGTAACGGTGACATGCAAATACATTAAAAATTAATTAATATAATGTTATTGATTACCCCACACACTTTAAATACCCTTCATTTTGTTATTTTTACACACACACACACACACACACACATATATATATATATATATATATATATATATATATATATATATATATATATATATGTATATACATACACGTATACAGTTTTGTAATTATAATAGCATACAACTGTATTAAATAAAGTTGTGTCTTAATTTATGTCTGTAGCATATCTGTTTTACTCAGCATTTTGATATTCTACAGCTATATTTTGAATATTCAATGATGATTTTGAAAGATAAACTAATTGTACATCTTACCATTTTTGAAAGTAGAGGGACGCAATAAATCATTCAGCTCTTCTTGCGGCAAACATATTTAATATCAAATAGAAATAAAAAAATCAATAAAATCAAATGTCAGAACCAGTAAATGATGTTGCAGTAGTAAAATAAAGGCCAAAAACAGAAACCACAATTGTCGGTGCTGACGTTACTGCTGGATGATAAAGAAAGATTCTTGTGCGAAACTCTATAAAAAGAAAATCTAAAAATAACTCCGTAGTTTTTGATGAACTAGGTGTAAAATGAAGTACCACGAGTCATACAACCAATCTTTAACACAAACCCTTCGTTGTAGAAACTATTTGTAGTCACTGTCCGCTCAAATAAAAGAAATTATAATACTTTGAGTTTATTCAGTACACATTTTATCCATCATTCAGTTATAGAACTAAGATTGAGCCCAATAAATTTTCAAAGCTCTTCAATCAATACTCTAAATTATTTTTTTTACTTCCCATTTATGACAAATAACATAAATGTATTGACACAAACGTGAAATTGTTATGATATTCTCAAAACTGATCTGTTTTTTTAATTAAGGTAATTTCTTTGAAAATATAAATTGTATTATCGTACGGAGCAATAGATAGATATGCTTTCATTCCTTAATTTTTATAAACTATAAGATGTTTACAACATCTATTTTTATATTCACTGTTTTAATTCCTTGAACAATTGAGTTTTTCCTACTTCCATTACGTTTGCGAGATTTTTTTCGCACCTTTGCTTGACAATTTGTTTTTTTCTCTTTATAAAATCCTGAAACTACAATTTATCAAGTAATTAAACTTATTTCACTTCATTGAAATTCATTTAACAGCAAATAATGTAATTGCTTGAGGAAATTGTTCTTCGAGAATCTTTCCCCTTTTTTAAAAATTTTTCTCTCGATAGAGAGCTTCTAGGAAATCCCCAGTTTGTTCATAAGAGATAATAAAGGTCGCAGCAAAAAAACGCCGGGTGCTTGAAGCAAGTAGAAGAGCTTAAAAGTCTAATATAGTGCAGGGAGTTCTAAACGGATTATCGTGTAGGAGGAGATTATTAAAGATATCCAGCACGCTGACGGATTTCCAGACTAAGTTGCCCAGCGTTCTGCAGTCCCACGACCTTTGGAATCTCCCCAGTGGCCGGCAGCACCCGCTCTCCCACCTCCGCCCCCTCCTCACCCTGCCTCGCTTCACGGCTTCCTGCAGTCGCCAGTTGGCTCTCGCCGAAGACTCTGCTTTGCGGCTAGTCGGAAGGCAAACGCGATTATTAAACAGCCCTCAAAGAGCTTCCCGCCCCACCCGGTTCCGTCTCTCCCCGACACTTCCTCCCCTTCACCCCATCCTCTCCCTTCACCACTTCATTTTCCTTCACCCCTTCAACCCCCTTCATCACTTCCTCTCCCTTCATCCCTTCCTCTCCCTTGACCCCTTCCTCTACCTTTACCCCTCCTCCCCCTTCACCCCTTTCTCCCCAACCCTTCTTGTCAATCCACCATTTCTCTCCTTCAAACCCTTTCTCCCTCTCCAACCCTTCCTCTCGCTTCTAATCGTTCTCCCCCACCCTTCCTGTTCCTCCATCCATTTCGTACTTTCAAACCCATTCAACCCTTCCTTTCTCTCGCTCCTTTCTATCCCTACTTAACTTTCTCTCCATTCTCCCTTTCCTCTCTCCACCCCAAAAAAGGTTTCTCCCTTCCCACCCTTTCTTCCCATCCAACACTCTCTCCCCATCCACACCTTTCTCCTCCTTTCAATCCTTCATCTTTATTTGCTCCCTTTCTCTTCCTCCAGCCCTTCTTCTCCCTCCACTACTTTCCCTCCCTTCACCCCTTCCTCTCTCTCCAACCCTACACCATCCTCTCTCTAACCCTTTATTCTCTCTTCGCCCCTCCTTCTCCCAATACTATTTTCTTTCTATTCTCACATTTCAGGTTGACTACTTTCTCTCCCCCTCCAACGTCCCCTCTTCATTTCTGCGCCACATTCTCTCAACTGACCTGATCGCACCCCTTCTCCGCCCGTTTCATTGTGACTTTCCACCCCTCCCTTGCACTCCACGCCTTTGCTAACCATTCCAACACGTCTGCCATTCTTTCCCCCTCGTCCGCCCCTCCACTCTTTAACTCATCTTCCTCCCGTTCATTCTCATACACTCT